ACCTGAGCAACTGACTTTCCTCTAGCCGCAGCAATCTTTTTCAGCACCTCACAGTCCAAGACTTGGTTTGTTCCCCACAATGTCCCTTTAGCCCCTAAAGGAGAGTATGCTGTAACATGAATCTTCTTCTCCTTACAAAACTCCCGCAGCCCCTTCTGATGCCAAAGCGGGCTCACCTCCACCTTGTGAAATCAAGCATATATAATATACTAATCAACTTTTCGTTCAAAATATCAATAATCCATGAGGATGAGAATGTTATGCATTCAACATGGAGAAAAAATAAATGCGATCATAGTTTTTTTTTGGGTAATGTTGTGACAGGACCCCTGATTTGAGTACCAAGGTAGATAATAACGTGAAAAAAAATTACAAGACACACATAAATGGACACGAGAGATTTATGTGGTTCGGCTATTGCCTATGTATATGACAAATAAAGATTGGATGCTTTCACTATGGACTAAAACAACAGTACGAGAACATTTGTATCTTGACTCGCTAGTACTCACTCCTACTATAGAGAATGCACTCTAACATCACTGATATCACTTGGTATCACTCAATCTTAGATGCCTCACAACTCTCTACAATCAGAAAGGCTTCTGGTATCCGATGCCTTCAACCCTCTACTTGAACTTCCTTTATATAGGAATTCAGGAGAGGAAACATTCAAGCTATCAAATGCGCAATTAGATTTATGCGTGATTAAGCCACCATACAAGCCGCTTGAGAATTCATGCGGAAATAATTTATGCAGAGAGAAATCATTTAAAGCCTTCACCTAACCTTGACTTTTGTGTCATTTCCATTTCAGGCCACAAAAGGCCTAGGCCTTTTGACCATGTTTTCAACAATTCTCCACCTTGGACAAAAGCCGCTCAAGCCATCTTAAAAAAAAAACTCATTCTCGATCATCGTCTCCAATGCGCCTCAAAAGACGCTCAAACTGGTAATATGTTGATCAAGTTCAAGCAATGCTCAAACTTACTTGCTAGAACTTCCTTCGTCATCATAACTGCAAAATTATCACTAGTGATGGCTTCAGGATAGATGATCGGCTTGTTGGCCTCAACTTTTTCTCCCACACTAAATGCATAGGCAACATGATCCTCGTATCCATATCTTTGAGGTGGCTTAATCTATCTCCTTTCTCTATCCCTAGTAAGCATGTACCCCTACTATTTTGGAGCCGCATCAGAGTCTTGTTCATCTTCTGCATCTTACCTAACTAGGACATCATCTTGCAAGTTCTCTAGAGCTTCCATTTCAAGATCCACTTGCTTGCTGACACCGTGGTCTTTTCCAGTATCATGAGACTTCTCCTTTTTGGGTTCCAGCATAGTAGACTCATTAAAGGTCACGTCCTTGATGACAATACATTTGGGTGGTTTAGCATGTGCACACCACAGTCTATAGCCTTTTACCCCATCTGCATACCCTAGAAATATGTACTTCTTTGCCCTCGGCTCAAATTTACCATCATTCACATGAGCATAAGCTGGACAACCGAACAATCTTAAATCAGTGTAACTTGCAGGGGACGTAGACCAAACCTTTTCAGGAGTCTTATTCTCGTTAGTTGTCGATGGAGACCTATTAACAAATAACAAGTTGTACTGACAACTTCAACCTAGAACTTCTTGGATAGATAAGCATTTGAGAGCATGCATCGTGTCTTCTACAAGAGAGTTTTATTCATACGTTCTGCTATAGTTTTTTTCTCACCGTGCGGTGTCTCACAATCCCTTATTTCTTGCAGAACTCATTGAAAGTACCTCCACAGAATTCCATGTCATTGTCAACTCGTAAGTGCTTGATCTGGTTGCCTATTTGCTTCTCAATCATAACCTTCCATTGTTTGAACTTTCCAAAGACATCATTCTTGTGCTTCAATATAAATATCTAGACCTTATGAGAATAGTCATCGATAAAGGTCAACATATACCTTCCACCACCAAGATAAGGAACATGAAAGGGTCCCCAAATGTCATAATGGATATAATCCAGAGTACCCTTAGTCCAATGTATAACGATACTAAACTTTACTCTGCACTACTTTCCGAATACACAATGCTCACAAAAATCTAGTTTTCCAATCTTTTGGCCACACAACACACTTTGTTTGCTTAGCACATCTAGTCCTTTCTCACTCACATGCCCTAATCGCATATGCCATAACTTAGTAGTGTTTGAGCTTGAATATGAAGATGGATCTGCGACAGCTGCACCTATCACTGTGCTGCCCTATAGCACATACAAGCCATTATGTTTTTTCCTTTTCATCACAATAAGAACACCTTTAGAAATCCTCGTGCCTAACATTTGTACGAGTCCAAGAAAAAAAGATTTTTCCTCAGATCTAGAATATGCCTAACATTTGTATGAGTCCTCACAATACCATCAAACATCTTGATCTGTATTGTCCCTATCCCAAGAACCTTACACCGTACATTATTTCCCATTAAGACCTTGCCACCATTGACTGACCGATAGGTGGTCAACCAGTCCTATTTGGGACATATATGATAGGAGGAAACTGAATCAAGAATCCACTCATCACCTAAGCTAATAGTTGAACACATGAGTACATCAGCATCAACGAAATCTTCTTCTACAACACCAACAATTTTACAAGAATTTGAGTCTTTCAATCTTTGTTTTGTTTTTACACCTCGAACAATCTTTTCTAATATGTCTTTCCCCATGACAGTGAAAACATTTAACTTTTCTAAATCCTCCCCTAGATTTAGCTCGGCCTAGCCATTCTCCATTGATCGTCCTCTTGCAACTAAACATTCGTCTGAGTTTCTGTCTCTACTTTTAAACACCCTATTCTTTAACTTTTTCAAATTCAAGGCTGCCTTTACATCTTCCATGGAAAGAGACTCTCTACCATACACCATAGTATCAACAAAGTTCTCATGCGAAGGTGGTAAAGAACACATGAGAATCACGACTTGAATTTAATCCTCAAATGTAGAATCGATGTTCTTCAGATCTAATATGATTTTATTATACTCATCAAGATGGTCTTTGATAGATGTACTTTCTTGTATCTGGAGAGTGAATAACTACTTTAACAAATACAAACGGTTCGTGAATGATTGTGTCATGTACAGGCTCTCCAACTTTAGCCACAAACCTGAGGTCGTAGTTTTGCCAATAACTTCCCGTAACACCTCATTGCTAAGGCTCAATATGATAGCACTAATATAATTCTTGTCATCGTCTGACATTGTTGCTGGGAAGGCATCTCTCCCTGCTGCATTATATTTCTCTATGGCATTCAACAATCCTTGTTGAATCAACAAGGCACACATCTTTAAGCGCCACATGCTGAAATTATTTGTTCCATCGAATTTTCTATCTCTAACTTTGCAGCCATTGCAAAATCCCAAATCAAAAGATTCTGGTAAAATCGAGATATTGGGCGTTGACGAATAGTACCAGGTGAAAGTACTCATCGAATAGTACTTGGGCCCACTAATAGTAATTGGGCCCCATAAATAGTGCTCAGGCCCACCGATTGTAAATAGTGTCGATGAATAATTTGGGCCCACCAATATTGTTTGGTCCCACCGATAGTACTTGGGCCCACCAACAATGCTATGATATCAATTTGTTGTGACAGAATCCCTAATTTCAGTACCAAGGTAGATAATAAAGTGAGGAAAAATAACAAGACACACATAAATGGACATAAGGGATTTACAAGGCTCGGCTATTGCGTACACCCACGACAAACAACGATCGGATATTTTCACTATGGAGTAAAATAACAATACAAGAACAATTGTATCTTGACTCGCAAGTACTGACTCTTACTAAAGAGAATGCACTCTGACCTCACTGATGTCACTTGGATATCACTCACTCTCAGATGTCTCACAACTCTCTACAATCAGTAAGGCTTTTGGTATCCGATGCCTTCAACCCTCTGCTTGAATCCCTTTTATATAGAAATTCAGGAAGGGAACGTCCAAGCTATCAGATGCGCAATCAAATGTGCGCGTGCTTCATCCACCAGACAAATCGGTTGAGAATTCATATAGAGAGAAATCATTTTAAAGTCTTCATCTAATCTTGACTTTTGTATCATCTCCATTTCAGGCCACAAAAGGCCAATTCCTTTGGCCATTTTTTCTATAGGTAAGTGAATGCGATTATAGTTATTGTCGTTATTCTATAGGATATTTTTTGATCTCATTTACATTTACAGTTTAGTGAGAGAAAGGTGAAACTCGAAATTCATCATTGAATCCACGAGGAATAAAAAGATACTCCTAATCGATGAATGGTGAACAACGGCAGAGTTAGAAATATCTATGAGGGGATAAAATATAATTGATTCAAAAAAATATTTAGTCAAAATTGATACAAAAAAATTCAGTTCAAAAATGACAAAAAAGTAAGAATTAAAACAAAATTATTATAAAATAATAAATTCAATTTTTATTTAGTCGAAACAAAATTTTAACAAATTTAGTACATTTTAACCTAACTATATATTTCAATAAAATATAATTTTTTTTAAAATCTCTAAAATTTTGTATATGAATTAAATGTACATTAATTTTTCACTAATTTCTATCAATGCGCACAATCAAAAGTTCTTCGTAAAATTATTATTTATTTAGTTGCAAAATTTAGTTGAGATAATTATTGATTTTATAGAGAAATTTCCTATTTGAAATAGCTTAAAATATTTTTTAGTTACAACTTTTGTCTTTTGTATATAATCATTTTTTATTAGATTATAAACCACTATTACTAAAAATATGGTAAATGAAAACCAAAAATTATTCTTAAAAAGTAATGATGATTTTGTTAGATAAAGAGAAATATTATATTTTTTATCAAGATAGTTAAATTTAATTGATTCAATCCAAAACTAACATATTTAATTTAGAAAGTTAGTGAACCAATTAATAATTTATTAAAAAAATAAAAAATTAGAACTATTATTGAAATTTTTAAAAATTTAGGAGGACAAATATAATGTATAAAATAATTTTATAGGTCGTCATCTAAAGTGGTCTTCATCTGAGCCAATTGCCCTCCTAATCCCCATGCGGCTCCTCCCACGATTATGAACATCTTTTTGTTTCATTGTTGGTTCCGTGGTTTGACCGGATTTGTTATTAAGCAGAAGAATTCACGATGTAATGTTTTAATATGTGTCCGACATGGGCTCAATTTTTCACCTTATTGAATAAAATAAAAGGTCGATGAGATAACTAAAACAACAGTATATCTTTCTTTGAACCCCATAGCAAGTACAAAAAGACTTGAAAGAGTCATAAAATATCTTAAATAAGTTTATTAGAGATCTGATAGAATATATAAAGTTTTAGTAGTATCTAAAATATTTTATCGAGTGATAGTTTTATATCCCTATTTAAGGGTTAAGCACAATGTAATTAGTTAATAATACGCCGATGTAACTTTGTAGTCCATTAATATAAAGAAAGTGTGTTGAACTAAAAAAATCTCTTTGTTTTGTTCCGTTTTCTATCTTTAATTCGATGATAGGAGACTCACTTGATTTACTGCGGGAGGGATCTTTGCTGTAGCAAGTAACAGGTTGAGCTTCTTGCAGGAGAAGTTGCTCACTCCAATATTTTTTGAGAGCCCCAATTTCTGACACTCCTCCATGGCTTCCCAAACTGACTTGAAATCCATAGGAAGAAGGTATTTCCCATCGAATGGCACTTTGTCAACCCCTGGCTTCAAGCTAACTGGAAAATGAATTAGGTAGAGATCAAGATAGTCCAACCCGAGCTTCCTACATAAAGAAACATGACCGCAAACTGTCAACAAATTTGTATTTGAACAAGTAAAACTACTTTCAATTTGCACGAATATAATACAACAATTGAACTATGACACGAAGCAAAAACTTCTACATCATTAATTGATGTCTCTTAGGCACATAAAACCCAGTTTAAATTACACACATGAGTAGTAGATGAGTGTGTGCATTCGAAATTTGTGTTACTCTCACGAGTTAATAAAAAAACAAGCAAGTAGTACTAATATCCTGTCACACCAAAACGAAAATGGAAAAAACTAGTATGAGAAAGTGTTTGATACTGGAGGGTTTGTCGTAGGGCTGGAATGACGCGATCAGGATGTGCATTGCAGCACCAAAGCTTTGACGTGATAAACAGTTCTTCACGAGATTTGATGAACCCTAGCCCTAAAGCTTCAGTTATGGCCTCACCAAGTGGCCCTTCCGATTCGTATATTGCAGCGGAGTCGAAGTGTCTATAGCCGAGCTTGATTGCATGCAGAATGGAAGTTTTCACGGTGTCGGATCCTTCAAACGGCCATGCCGCAGTTCCAAAGCCGAGTAGAGGAATGGTAGCATCGGTACTTGAGCCAAGTGGTGCTTTAGGAATGCTTCCCATTTCTTCTGACCTAATATGCCTCAGTCTGATTGCTAAACAAGTATACATATACAAGCTAATGAGAAGAAAGAAATTGTGAATTAAAAAAAAAATGAAAAAAATGGGCATTGCCCCACTTTTGTAAAAAGAAAATTCGAAGATAACAAGAAGCTATCAAGATACACACAAACTAAATACACCATAATGGTCCGTCTTATTGGGTAAATAAAAATATAGAAGAATAGAAAATAATAACGATGCAATTTCCATCTTTACGGAAAGGAATTCTTCGTTTTATCCTTTATGTTTGATAAAAAAAATAAAAAGTAAGAATGATTGATTTTTTGAATTTAATAAGATAGAGGAAGTTTTTTTTTAATTTTTAACTTTTAATTTTTATTAAAAAAATATAAATATATATTTTAACATTATATCTATATATGAAATTAATGTATACATAATATGTAATTAACAAATATGATATATATATATATATATAGATAAATAACATATATTCTAATATACAAAATTAATTTTTCATCAATTTTTCTTTCTAATTTTGGTGAGTTTGAGAGAATATTAAACTATCGACTTTTTCATTTTTTTTTATTTTCTTTCATAATCAAACATGATATTTTATCTATCTTTACAATTTTTTATCGTTTCATTTTTTTCATTGTCTCAAACTAATTATAAAAAAAAATCAAAACTAATGCTGAATTTGTGGTTCATAAAATGCCACGTATGGTAGCAAAATCAAAGATGAATACCACAAGTCAAATTTCCTAAATTCTAAGTAAGTCATCACTTCTTATCGCCTTACAACCCACTTGACCCTAGTGGTGTTAATGCTTTCCATTTCCTAAATGGGAACGGAGAAAATATTCGACGTTGAAAAGTATTGATGAGTGGTATCACTTGCTAACTGCGAAATACCATGTGGATTAGATTACTTTCTCTAATTAACGAGTATTTGGTCTAATAAAAATTTTTGTCTTCTAAATATTTTGCTTTCGTGAAATTACATATGGCGATGACGATATTATATAACTTTTGTACTGAATAATAACATTACTTATACCTAGTTAGCTACTTACGATATTATAATTTTCAAATTGATAATAAATTTTATTTAATATTAAAATTTATTATTAATCTAAAACTTACAAAATATTAGATTTCTAATCAAATTCTCAATAACATTGTTCTTTACTGAAAGAAAAAAAACAAGTTTTGGCGTGTACAGAAGTCCAAGGGTGGGACCCCATTGAACCATACGAGGAAGATGAGATCTCATTTTCTGTCTGTATTTGTTAGATTTTTTAACAGAAAATAACAAAATATATCACGTGAGTTTACAATCCAGTCATGTGAGTGACACACTCTGTCACTTTCTATTAGAAAATCTAACAGAGGAAGATAAAAGAACTCAATTGATACAATTAAAAAGTTTAAGAGCTCATTTGATACAAAATAAAAAAAAGTTCAAGATTTTAATTAATATAAGGATCATAATTTGAGGATTATATATGTAGTTTACTCTTTATTTTTCCTTGAATAACCCGAAGACATGACCTGGGAGCAACCTAAGTTCGTGTTGTTGTGTCCATCTGTCGGTGTGGTGAGAGAGAGAGTTGTGTTCATCTTCGAATTGAGTTTCTTAAGTCTATCTATCTAATATTGCAATTACAAACTAGCTAATCGAGTTTTTCCTCAGACGGATTTTTCCTTTTGCTCCTCAGCTTGCAAGTATTAACAGACATTTTCAACTATTGTTTCCGTCCCAAGGATAGGGTCTTACGCATTATTCACCCGTCCGCCACAGAAATCCCACTTTCCAAACTTGCATGTATGTTAAGCATGCCACCAACATTCATCTTTTGCCAGGATCAAACACTTCATGAATTTTATGTTTTCATTACTTATAACTTCGTTGAGCTCAGGATTCCTCTCTATGCCCATATTTATTTAGTCAAAAAGAGAAATTTGGTCAAAAAAAAAGAGAGTTCAATCGATACGAGGAAAGTACTGAAATTAAAATTTTAATTTATAAAAATATAATAAATAGCTAAAATTGATCTAATTTTTTATTTATTTTAATCTACTAGTATAAAATTTATCTTATATTTTTTTTCACTTAAAAATATCATTTTCTTTGCACGATCCACAATGTTTTACAACTCAACCAACATTCTCTCAAATGCCAAATAATTCATTAATCCACACTTAACTCTCTTTTATTTTTTTCGTGGTTCACTTTTAATTTTAAATTATGGGATTATAAGAAAGAAAATAAATAAATTGATATTTGAAATATGAAATATGAAATATTACACAATAATTGTTTAATTTTTGGTATTCTAGAGTATCTTCAGAAATGAAATTATTACTAGTTTATTTATAACCAAAAAAGATATCTTATATTGTAATGGTACAATATTTAAATACCTATCAATAACTATCACGTTTAAATTTTTTAGTTCATCAATCCCACTAGTATTTTATTATTGAATATTAATAAAAAGTTTCAATTATAACATAATATAAATGTTAGTATTGCACTGAACAATAATGATACTTGTAGGCTTTTGAGTTAATATTGAATTTCATTTAATCTATTTAATATTAAACCTACGAACTTAAATTTTAAAATTATAAAAGTATAACAATAGTCAAAATTGATTTAATTTTTATCTATTTTGATTTAAGGGTATAAAATTTATCCCAATTTTTTTTTCTCGCTCAAAAACCTTGTTTTTTGAACAGTTCCCAATGTCAGACAACTTAGTTAACACACTCCACAAACCAAACACTCCCATTAATCCGCAATACTTCTCTCTTAAATTTTCTTTGTTTACTTTAATGTTAAAGTATAGAATTAAATAAAAAATTAATATTTAAAATAAAAGTATTTTACAACAAATATTCGATTTTTGGTATTATAGAGTATATTGAAGCATGGGATTATTACTAGTTTATTTTTAACCAAAAAAAGGTACCTTATTTTTCATATCAAGTTGAAATTATAGTTCATCAATCCTACTAGTATTTTATTATTATATCAATATCACATGTTAATGATAACATAATATTAGTGTCATTATTACATTGAACAATAAACAATATTTGTACCCATTGAGATTTTTGGGATAAATACTTGAATTTTTTTCAGTATTAAAATTCAACATTAACTCAAAAATAAAAATATAATAAATTCTCAAATTAAGTTTTAATAACATTCATCAACGTTTAATATTCATTCAGACCAAATGTGACAAGCTTCGGTGTGCCAAACGCCTAAAACACAAGCTTTGGCGTGCACGAAAGGCCCAAAAAAAAAGAAAGCTTTGTCGTGCACGAAAGGCCAAGTCCCATCCTCATTTGTGTGTCCATATGTATCATTTGGATTTTTTCCCCTTTTTTGAGCTTGTTCGCTTTCTGTAACTGTAATCATAGGCATAGTACAATGCAACCGCATTGAGAATAGAGAGTGACTCGTTCGCATTCGGGTAGGCTAATTTTAATGTGAATAATGTCTATTTAGTTTTGTTTTTAAGATATGAATGTATTGTTTTTTTTTTTTTATCAAAAATTGATGGAAGCGGTTCAACGGTACTATCATTTAGTTGCCGGAGTCGAATAATAAGTTGACGGATATGGAGAAAATCCCACGGTAGGGAATGCCCCACAATGGGGAATACCTTCTAACAAGGACCATGTACATGTTGATTTTCAATGTAATACTGGTAGAGGAGTTTTACTAAGATATAGTAGGCTAGGAAATTTACTAAGAATTGATGTATCAACTTTACTAGGACTAAGTTTCTTAATTGGGTCAAGATTAGGGTTATTAACTAGTTCCTATAAATATGTTGTTAACTCTTTTGGATTGTGATATAATAATAATAATAAAGAAAATCCATTCTTGTGGATGTAAGTAAGATTTATACCGAGCCACATAAATATTGTTTTCTTGATTGTTCACAATATAACTAGATGCATCCTATGAACCACCATTCCATATAGAATTTTAAGGTGATATAGAGAAATCTAATATAAGTATTTATCTGATACTTTCTCTCATGTGTGGTCTCTCTTTGAGTTGTCTATACAAGTAATTTTTTTTTTCAATAAGAGAGGAAGTCTGGTGAGATTTCAACTTAAATCCTCTAAGCTCTAATGTTGTGTTGAACTACTGATACTACTAGAAATTAACTGGACCCGACTATAGAATAGTTTGGTTTGTGACCTAGAGTGTGTGTGAACATGTGTATGTGATAACAAGTGTGCTAAGTGTTAAATGTAAGACGAAGACAACAATATGAGTGGTTCACCCTAATCGAAAGACTAAGGTTACATCCACTGTAAGTAAGACTTTTGCATTTTGGGATCTGTATTACTTGGGGAAGAAGATTGTTATTAAAAAGTATTTGACTTGAAGCTTTTTACAAAATATTGTCTAGGTTACTACTGGGTGGTATTTCTCTATATCTCTGTGTGGCATCATCAGCTATTTATACATCTAGTTGTTAGGATTTCGTGGCGATTCTTTTTTGGTTGATTCTGTGGTTCACTCTGTGTTTGTCTTGCTACGGCAGTTGTCATTTCTGACGCCTTTCTACACCCGATACGCACCGACTGGAATATGTGAACCATCTTCATTGCTGGTGGATTTTCCTCCATCATGACTGTCAGGTGTTGTCCCATTGTCTCCTATCCATGTATCATGTTGCAATTTTTGCCAACTAGTCCGGTGCAGTACTCCCATTCCCCAATTTGGTGGGCTTGTCGAGTTGTCATCTATTTCCAGTTGGTTAATTTCGGGCTTCCATGGAATTGGGCTGCGATTTAGCTCGAGTCCAATGAATACTATCTGGATGAGATGCTTGGGTCGCCTTATATGAGCCCAAAGAGTTTTGAGCTTTGAAAGGGGTGCAGACTTAAATCTATTATCATCACCATTTCATCTAAAAGCTTAAACTAATATAGAAGGGTATAACATAAATATTTATGTAATACAT